AATTATTTTAACATTAATTTTTAGTAAAAAGGATTAGAGAAGAAAGGGAAGGATTATTCGAACCTTTCTTCTTCCTCCTCTTTTCTCCATCTTCTTCTCTTGTACTGCTGCTCTTACTTTTCTTCCTCCTTTTTCTCTCTAATTTTTCAAGTTTACACCTATTTTTGAGGACTGGTTTACATCTTTCTCCTTGCTTGTCTTCCCTCTTTTCTTCTCTTTCTCTCTCAACCTTCTTCCTTTTACTTCTTTTTCTCTTTTTTTTTCCACTTCTCTTTATTGGAGTTGGAACATGGTATCAGAGCTTTGAGGGCGGCTGTACAGCACTGTTCACGCCTCAACTTTTTGTGTCGTAGGAATTGAGAATATTCTCTATTCTTTATTGGAAAGGAAAAGGATTCAATAGGACTAATCACCCCCTCAAGTTGTAGTGTTGTGTGAGTTGGTGGTGTTTTTCTAAGGACCCTCTACTCGGCAGTTTGAAGAGGGCAGCCTTGTGATGTCTTGAGTTGTGTGGTAAGTGCTCCTGAATGTGTTGTGATTTTGTGGTGGTTTGTGGTGTGGTGACATATTGTGTAAATGTCTAATGCTTCCCTAGTGTTTTTGAAATAGAAGTGTGGTGATTCTTGTTTTCTCTCCTAAGAAAAAGGTGTGCTACAATAGGTGTATATCAGTTGTTTGACAAATTACCTAAATGATACGCCAGTGATTTCTTCTCATACTCATGGCTTCATCAAGTAGTAACACTAAACCTACAGTAGTTGTGCAATCAAATCTCATCACTTATCAATTAACTATGGTGAAACTTAATGGTACTAATTATATCCCTTGGGCCAAGTCGGTTGAGGTATCTCTCATTGCGAGAGGCAAGTTGAAGTACATTAAGGAGGGTCCATTGAAAAGTAAATCGGAAGGGTACAATGAATGGGTACAAGAGAATGCCCAAATTATGACTTCTCTTTGGAACAATATGCAAAATCATATAAGTGTGAACCTTATATTACTGGACCTGGCCAAGGAGATTTGGGACCATGCCAAATAGTTGTATTCTGGACAAGACAATGTCACAAGAATTTACTAATTATACCAAGACTTTATTTCTCTTCAACAAGGGGGTAAAAGTGATGAAGAATACAATGCTTCTTTAAAAAGCTTGAGGAATGAGCTTATTGTCTATCAACCCCTATCCACTGATTTGAAGACTCGGCAAGAACAAAGAGAGCATCTAGATGTGGCAAGGTTTTTGTATGGGTTGAGGTTTCTGTAATCATTCCCACCTTTAGAGAGATCAACCACAGTGGTTTCCAAAGGAGGTTTTCCTAGTAGAAATATGCATGGTAGAGGTGGAGGTAGTGTGAGGGGTTTTGGCAATGGGCCTAAGGGTGGACATAGTAGTGGTAGAGAGGCTGGTGGTGCAAGAGGTGGTGGAAGACATGAAAAGGAGCAGGATCTGGAAAGAAGGAAGAGAGACCTGATGGATCTACTTCTCCTCCTCCATACTACTCTCCCCCTGAGGACTAGGGTAGAATGGTTTGAATTTGAAAGAAGGAAATATCCATACAGACAAAATACTTACGATCAATGGGATCAAAACATTGGTAACCCTTTAGACTAAGGGTACAACTTACTACGAGAAGGAGACAAATCATGAACAATAACTAATGAGGGGCCTCGTAGTTCAATACTCTGGAGGGCATGCAGTTGATGGCATACGCAACAAGTACAACATCTATCCAAAAATATTTTAGCACATTCATATTTTACATAAACCCCTATGCTACTTTAAGAAGATGTCTATTTTTTCTTTTTGCAACATCATTTTGTTGTGGTGTTCTCACATATGAACTCCTATGAAGAGATAAATGGGAAGCAAAAAATTCATTGAGCTCGCCATGGAAATATTCCTTCGCATTGTATAATTGAAAATTTTGGACCTCAACATGAAATTGTGTGAACACCATCCTCTAGAAGTCCCTTACAATCTTTGGAACTCCATCCTTAGTACGCATGACTTAAATAAAAAGGAAACATAGTTTATTATTTTAAAAGACACATGACACAAACAATTATGCCACAAAAAAACTTAACCTTATTTGATTGACTCAAATGACTATGTAACTTTGAAGATGACATCGAAAAACCATCCTTGTTGCAAGAGCATAGAGACCATCTACTAAGCTTCCTTTACCAATTGTCTTCCTAGAAGTTAGATCTTGAAAAACACA